TGAGAGCGGTGATTAAATGGGAGAATTTTCAAATAAAAATTCTCTTTTCAAATAGCCATAAATAGAGGAGAGAGGTATAGGGATAAGGAAAAACATTTTTTAATGGGAATTCAGATACTAGAAAACAATGATTTGTAATGGAAAATTGAGGTAATTTATAATTAAGACTTTAGACTTTTATTTCCTACAAACTGTTTGAAGTATGTAGAAATGATGTCAGGGACATGAGTTGCTTTAAATAAGATAGAGCATTAATTACCATTTTGTTTCAGGGCATCAAATCCCAGTATCCAAAAGTTTATGAAGCAGAAGGGGTTTGCTAGTGATTATTCAAAACTGGAATCTTTCTATATGCAAAAGTAAGTTACTGGAAAGTCTGCTCATATATTTTTATAAATGATTTTTAAAGCTCAAGTTATTATTCAACGTCATGTTTTATTTTGCATGTTCTCTCTGCTCCTTGCTAAAGTATACATGTTGTAAATGACATCTACAGAGAGAAGCAATATCCACCTCTTCAATACTAACACTTAAGTATTTTGTAGTAACTATAAAGCACAGGAATGCAGTCCCATTCTAGGAACTTGCCTTAAACTCTGGATTCCCTGCCACGTCTTCACCATCCAGCCCCTGGAATGCATTTCCTTTTGTCAGTTACACGACAATTTCTTTTGCTCCATGTCTGTGATGTACATCAGTGCATACCCACATATGCCTGTTTAGATTAATTTAAAGATTAAAAGTTGAGCTCCCAGGTGCCTTAGCAATGATTCAAATGTTCGATAGCCAGATGAAGCTAACAACTCCCATATGAAGATACAGAAAATCTTCATCATTGTGAAAATTCTATTAGACAGTACTGCATGGAGTCAGCAAACTTTCAGAATGATTTAGACTCGAGGCTGGTATTGTGGTGTAGCACACTTAAACCGCCACTTGCAACATCAGCATCCCATGTGTGGGTGCCTGTTCTAGTCCTGGCTGCTCCATTTCAGATCCAGCTCCCTGCTAATACACCTGGGAAAGCAGCAAATGATGACCCAAGCTCTTGAGCCTTTGCATGTAATGTGGGAGATGCAGAAAAAGCTCCTGGCTCCTGGCTGTTGCAGGCATTTGGGGAATGAACCAACAGATGGGAGATTGTGCTGCTTCTCTCATCTTGTCTTTTCTTCTTTTTCCATCAATAAGCAAATCATTAAAAAAAATCTTATAGCCTTGATGGATCAGTTACATGTCCTATAAACACAATTCTTTCGTTTATGAATCTTAAAGAAACAGGCTGCAGGTAAAGTCTGCCAACCCTTGCTCTATACCATCTGACACGCCTATGGGCCAGCCTTTCTTTTTTTTTTTTTTTTTTGGTGATACATTCTAACTTTATTACCCTCAAAAAATGGATTCTGTAAACAGTTCCAGTTATTTGTGGATTGATTGTGAGCAACCATTACATTGTTATCTAGGTGATTTGGCAAGCTAAATTATATTTCCTTTGTTTGAAAAAACCCATAAAATTATCAGAAAGAAAACTGCAATGTGTTGTCTCCCAGTTTATGCTTAGATCCCCTTGTTCTACTTAGGAGCATTGTTCATTAATTTGGCAAATTAGTACTAACCTATGCTGTGTTAGTTCCTTGCCATACGCTAATGGAACTGCTTATTTCTCTACTGACTTTAGCTGCCTCTGTGTTGCAGGTAATGCGTGGTAGACAATTTTGTGTAGTCGTGAGCTGAAATAACTTTGTAATTTTATTTCAATGCTAGCCTTTTGAATATTGTTTCAAGCGTAAGAAAGAAATCGATTGTTTGGCAAGAAGTTTACGATGATGGAGCAAAGGTGAGAACTGTGAAGACTACATGATTCTGATAGCATGAAACTTACATACTGAGGTAGCTTAGTAGTAAGTAAAACTGTTGCTCTCTTAGATTCTAAAAAGTTTCAAAGTAAGTAAAATACCAGTGTGTTAGACATGGGTCTAAAATGCAAATTTCTATCTTATTACACCTATATGATATCATATAAACACCAGAGTTACCTATGCAACCTAAACCCCCAAGATGAATCGTGTGTAGTATTAAACCTAAGAAAAGGGGAAAGATGAAAATGGGTGTTTGTTTCAAGGATCTTAGTGATGTTCCTACCCATAATGCCTTAGATATCCATCCACTTACTGTATGTACTGGAGTCTAAAATATGTATTTTGTGATTTTTAATAGCTTCCACCAGACACAGTAGTTGAAGTGTGGAAAGGAGAATTTTACAGAACCGAATTATCTCAAATCACAAATTCTGGTTTGCCTGTAATCCTTTCTGCTCCTTGGTACTTGGATTTGATTAGTTATGGACAAGACTGGGAAAATTACTATCAAGTGGACCCTCTAGACTTTACTGGTAATTAACTCGGTGATCTACTTCACTTCCTTTTATGCTTTATCCTAATTATTTAAAACAGAAACACTCTTATCGTTTTTTTTCTTCTATTTTATGATACAGGCTCTAGGATTTCCTTTAATCTCCCCCCCATTCTGATTTCCCCTAAATTATTACAATAATGTAGTCTTTCGGAAGCAGTCATAAGTTCATCATTCTACTATTTACGAGTCTCCTGACGTTGCAGGGACAGACAATGGTAGACAGTCCAGCATCTTATTGTCAAGATATAGCCTAAACTTGCCCAAGTACTTTTCAGGTTTTGTTTTATCCCCTTGTATTTTTTATCTCCATTTTACTGGAGATACCCTCTACATTTGAGATGTCGGACTACTCATGTCATCTTCTCTGAACAGCCTCTCCAATGAGAGACACCTGACCAAAGTGGAGGTCGACCTCAGTGTGTGTGTGCTGGGGTTCTGAAGAGCAAGCAGTCTTTAAGACGCCTGAGTGTTGGACCCCCTTCAGTCACAGCTGTCTAGTTTCCTATCACACACGCAGTACAAGGAACTTTAATCTTTGGACCCTTCATTAAGTTGTCTGGTTTCATATGCCACACTGTAGTATAAAATTGACTCTCAGAATAAATTTTTTAAAAAATTGACTCTGAGAAAGGATTTTGCTGTAAAAAAAACTTTTTTTCAGAACTACAGGTCTATTAGGAATTAATTTTTTTAAGAATTAAAAAGCTTTATGAGTAGTAAGAGTTAAAACTACCATTAAAATAAGCAGTAGGAACTCAATGCTTTTCATTCCTATCAAAAGGAACAAATTGAAAGAATGTGTGGTGGTCCCATAAGAAAAAATAATAGAAAATAAACTAGAATTTCAACTTGTATTCCTTGGCATATTGCTAGCAGGGAACCAAGAGAAAATAAAAATGTTTTCTAGTGTTCAAATAAATTTGAATGAAACAGTATCCTTTCTTTAAACCACATTAGCCTATACATGCTATAGAAGTCCTGTGAGCTGCAATGAGAAGTGGCAATAAAATGTACCAACAATTTTGCTTCCCAACTGTTGACTGAAGAAAAAAATACTGTCATAGAGTTAAGATAGAAGTAGTCAGCATTGCGTTTGTATTCAAGCCCTGAACTGCTTAACTTATTCCAACTTAATGATTTGAATGTAGGTACTAAGAAACAGAAAGACCTGGTAATTGGTGGAGAAGCTTGCCTATGGGGAGAGTATGTGGATGCAACTAACCTTACTCCAAGATTATGGTATGCAATTTCATTGTTACCGTTTGAATTAGGAATTAGAATGCCCTGGCTTTCCTCCTCCATCCAAATAGGAAGGCACTAGGGATATCCTCCAGCATCAAGTTTTATATATTTACTGGAGAAATATGAATTTAGGGGCCAGCATTGTGGCAGCATGGGTTAAGCCATCACCTGTATTACTGGCATTCCATGAGCACTGCTTTGAGTCCCAGCTGCTCTGCCTGAGATTCAGCTCCCTGCTAATGTACCTAGAAAGGCAGGAAAAGATGGCAGAGGTGTTTTGACCCCTTGCCACCCAGGCAGGAGACCTACATAAGAGTCCCAGGCTCCTAGCTTTGGCCTGGCCCAGCTATGGCCGTTGTAGTTGTTGTCGTTATTTGGGAAGTAAACCAGCAGAAGGAAGATCTCTCTGTAACTCTGCCTTTCAAATTAAAACAGAAAAAAAAAAAAAAAGGAAACCATGAATTTAAACTGCTTATGTGAATGTATGGTTTGTATTTTAGGCCCCGAGCAAGTGCTGTGGCTGAAAGACTCTGGAGTCCAGCAGAGGTCAAAGATAGACGTGACGCCTACAACAGACTAACAAGACATCGTTGCAGGATGGTCAGGTATGGCAAATACTTTTTTTTAAAAAAAGCTTATGATACTTTCCTGTTCAGCGTTAGTGAACTCCTTATTTTGTTTTTACTATAAACAGAAATATGTGCTACCAAATTAGTAGTGATTTAATTGGGGAAAACTGGAAATTATTGTTTTTGTACTTAAGAGAATAACACCTTTAAGATACCTATTTGCACTTAGCAGTGTTTTTCAAGATGTGTGAAATTTGGTGTGATCCCACCCTAAATCACTTTAACATGGCTAAATGATTTGCCTTTTTTAAAAAAAAATGCTAATTCCATTATTTAAGTATTTCTAACTTAAGCTATAAGTTCTTAAAGTAGAGGAACTGTATCAATTTAAAGCTTCTCTTCATGTTCTCTGCCAACAGACGTGGAATTGCTGCACAACCCCTTTTTACCGGCTCCTGTGAGCATGAGAAAATATAAAAATGGACAGAAAAGGCTGCTGTAATCCACTACAATCAATTGATCTGAAATCATGTAAATCAAGATTTGCTAGACTGTCTTTTGAATAAAATGTATCTTTTTATTGATTGTAATATAAAATGAGATACAGGTTCATATATAAGACTGACGTCTTTTTTTGTGAGACAAACTTTAACAAAAAGATGACCAGTACCACCACTCAATGTATCCCAAAGGGCTTAGACTTCACAGATGAACACCACCATTCAGGTACACTTCCTGCAAACATCCAAGTGCCTGCGTCACTGCATCCATCAGGAAGAGCGGCGCCAGGGCCCTTATCTTCAGGTTACATCTGTTGAAACAGTAACTGTTTTGTCCAAAGCAAAAAAACCAGTGTTTCTGGACAGTGGGTAGATGCTTTTAATTTTCTGCTAGTTTCTAATGATCGCTTGGGTCATCAGTCAGTGCGTTGAACCACTTCTCTGGCTGAGCAGTGCATCTTGATCCTGAGGGTTCATGGCTTGGTAAGTCGATAACTCCAAGGCAAAGGTAGCCGAGCCGGACGTCAGTGTTCGAAGCACAGTTGAGTAACCCTAATTCAAATGATTGAAGTGTTATTGTATTTATGCCTTCAAGCTTCTCTTCCTACCAATTTTTTTTTTTTTTTGACTGCTATCAGGGGCAGGTGATATGATTTAAAATCATGTTAGCACTGTTTCAGGAAGTAATAGGGAAGATGCTCAGGACTGGGCTAGTGTTGTGGTAGAGTGAGCTGGGCCATTGCCTGCGACACCGGCATCCCATACAGGAGCCCTAGAGTGAGGCCCAGCTGCGCCGCCTCCTCTCCGGCCCCCGGCTAATGCTCCTGGGAAGGCAGAAGACGATCCGTGTACTCACGCGAGAGGCTAGCATGGCAGCCTGTCTCAGGCCGGATTAGGAACAAAGCAGCAGTTGGAAGATCTCTTTCTCTCACTTTCTGTCTCTCTGCCTTTCAAACAAATACATATTGGGGCGGGTGTTGTAGCACAGCAAATTAAGCTGCTACCATGTAGCAATTCAAGTCCTGGCGGCTCCACTTCTGATTCAGCTCCCTGCCACTGCACCTGGGGATGCCATGGGGGATGGCTCAAGTACTTGGGTCCCTACATTCAGATGAAGGATCCAGATGAAGCTTCTGGCTTCAGCTTGGCCCAGCACCAGCCTTGCCAAATATTTGGGGAGTGAATGAGCAGATGGAATATCCAAAGTTCTCTCTGGAACTCTGCCTTTCAAATCAATACATCTTCAAAATCTTAAAAAAAAAATTAGGGCAGCAAATAGTGTAAGCTGACACGGGTGTGTCCTCTGGTACTGGCATCAGACAGGACAGCTCTGCCCACCTAGATGCCCACTCAGGTGCCTGTCCTAAAAACAGAAGGGGCAAAGCACCAGAGAATGACACGTGTCTTAAACTGACAGTGGCAGTGTAAGATAAATGCTTGCAGCTGATTGGTCAGTTAGACTGGCACCGTAATCTGGTATAACACACCTTAACTTCTGTGATCTCTCAAGTGCTATAATTCCTGGATTTTCCCAATCATTTCAAGTCAGAATTCTCCGTTCTTCCTCATGCCTGAAATGTGACATGCCTGGTGTATCTCAAAGCTCTGCTGTTTCTTTCAGGAACTCCGGCTGGCCGATTTTGGCTTGCTGTTTGTGGCCTCTGTGTTACAAGTACTCACCATAATTTCTGCTAAGGGAACGGATCCCATAACCACCTTGCTGTCCTGGCGAGTCTGGATTTCTTGAATGTTTCCTCTTCTCTGCGCCAGGTCTGCCAGGACAGGGCTGAGGTGCTCACTAGGAACAGTCACCTCGAGGTTCATCAGAGGCTCTAAAACTTGCTTATCTGCTTTCTTCAGAGCCTAAAGAGATTAAAGGTTAACTCGCTTTTCATTAGTCAGAAACAAAACGTCAGACCCGACAGCATGGCCTAGTGGCTAAACTCCTCTTGCCTTGCACACGCCCGGGATCCCATACGGTTGCAAGTTCTAATCCCAGCAGCTCCACTTCCCAACCAGCTCCCTGCTTGTGGCCTGGGAAAGCAGTCGAGGACGGCCCAAAGCTTTGGGACCCTGTACCCATGTGGGAGACCCAGAGGAAGCTCCGGGCTCCTGGCTTCAGACCAGCGCAGCACGGGCCATTGCGCTCACTTGGGGAGTGAATCATCGGATGGAAGATCTTCCTCTATCTCTCCTCCTCTCTGTATATCTAACTTTGTAATAAAAATAAATACATCTTAAAAAAAAAGAAACAAAATGTCTATTTAAAAACAATTAATAGAAACTTATTTGTCACCCTCCCCTGCCAACTCTTGAATCCAAGGAGCTAGCAAGCTGGCTTGCTTTAACTCTCTCAAGACAGCATTTTATAAGAACTTCAAAATCTGCTTATATGCTGACAACAGTAGCATATCAACCTAGTCAATCCTGATTACTACAATACCTGTGAACATGTGAAAGAGTAATATAAACAGTCCACCCTTTAACTCGCATGTTGATTTTTTTTTTTGCGTTTGAAAGGCAGGTTTACAAAGAGAAAGAGAAACAGAGAAAGAGATCTTCCACCCATTGGTTCTCCCCAAATGGCGGTGATGGCCAGAGCTGAGCTGATGCAAAGACAGGAGTCAGGAACTTCCTCTGGGTCTCCTACCTGGGTGCAGCAGCCCAAGGACTTGAGTCACCCTCTACTGCTTTCCAGATCCATAAGCAGGGAGCTGGATCAGGAGTGGTCAGCTGAGACTTAAACCAGTACTCATAGGGGATGCCAATGCTGCAGGTGGAGGATTAGCTTGCTGAGCCCCATACCAGTCCTGCTATTGCTATTATTAACATCTAAGTTATAGTTCATGCAACATAGTAGGGAGGACTAATGAGGAGGCAAATAAAGGGGGAGAGCTTAAACAAAAGGGGGCAGCACCCAGGTCGTTGGATCCCTCAAATACACAAGAGACCTGGATACAGTTCCTGGCCCAGCCCCTGCCATTGCAAGCCTAAAGCTTTGGGACCCTGCACCCACGTGGGAGACCCAGAAGAGGCTCCTGGCTTCGGATCGGCATAGCATCGGCCGTTGTGCTCACTTGGGAAGTGAATCATCAGATGGAAGATCTTCCTCTCTGTCTCTCCTCTCTGTATATCTGCCTTTCCAATAAAAATAAAATAAATCTTTAAAAAAAAAATTAAAAAAATAAAACACCTACTCTGTGCCACATCAGAATACCTGGCCTTGAGTCCTAGCTACAACTCCTGATTCCAGTTTCCTGCTAACATTGGCCCTCAGAAGCAGTGGTGATGGCTCCAGCAAGTGAATTGCTGCCAGCTGTGCAGGAGACCTGGACTGAGTGGTCCCTCTTGGCTTCACCCCTAGCCCAGCCCTGGGCACCTATGGGCATTAACCAGCACATGGGAACAGTCTCTTTCTCTGCCTCTCAGGAAAACAAAAATTAGATTCTCCACATTAAGAACTCTTACTCCTAAAAGACTAAGGAGGAAAAGACACAAAGAAAGGCTCTGTAAGCACAGTTGTCTGTGCGAGTAGTAGTAATGACACTCAGTAGAGTCAACTTTACGTAAAAGAGGTTAGGATAGTTCTATACCTTTTGTACACATCTTGAGATGCAGGCAGAAATCATAGTTGTGGAAGTGCCAGGATGAGTAACCAGGGAATGCAGAGTAACTGTCACATCTTGAATTGGGGATCCAAGCAATGGGCCTACGCAGAGGAAAAGAAAAACGTATTAATTGTATTATGATTCTATACAGGGTGAGCAGTAACTGAGGGATGCAAAGAAATAGGGAGAAAACACTAACAAAGGAACAGCTCTGTGGTGCAAGGAATGATCGATGCCTGAGCAGGACACGATGCTCACTCTAACTTGAGGACTTTACCTTGGAGGCAAGCAGTGTGAATCCCATTTTCAATGGCCTCCTGGCAAGTCTTCAAAACATCTTCTCCAATACCCTCGGCATACTCAATCAGCGGCGTGACAGATGATGTTTTCGTCGGCCTTACTTCAAGCTCTACAGTCACCAGATGCCGTTTGTCTCCCAACGTTCTATCTAAGGTATCTAAAAGCAAACAAAACGCTTACAGTGCCTTAGAGACTTGCTCTGGAAAAGTCTGGCAGAATCCCAATAAATAACACAAGATCTCATAGAAGTTAAAGCAGAGGAGAAATTAACAATGGCACCAAAAAGTACTGTAAGAAAGATCAGAGAAAGCAGTTTTATCAAATAAAGCATCTGTTCCCATGTTTACAGATGTTAAAAACCCATTCTGAATCACCTGCTAATACTACTTCTGTGTTAAGATGTCCTGAGACAAGTATTAAAACCATGCTTCCAGGCCCGGCATGGTAGCCTAGTCGCTAAAGTCCTCTTGCCTTGTATGCACTAGGATCCCATATGGGCACTGGTTCTAATCCCAGCAGCTCCACTTCCCATCCAGCTTCCAGCTTGTGGCCTGGGAAAATCAGCTGCAGATGGCCCAAATCCTTTGGGACCCTGCACCCACGTGGCAGACCTGGAAAAAGCTCCTGGCTCCTAGCTTTGGATCAGCTCAGCTCCAGCCATTGTGGCTACTTGGGGAGTAAACCAGCAGATGGAAAATCTTTCTCTCTATATCTCCTTCTGTGTATCTGCCTTTCCAATAAAAATAAATAAATAAAGTTTTTTTTAAGAAAACCATGCTTCTGAACTTTTCAAAATGTCTCATCTGACAAGAGTCCTTTCAGTTAGAAACTTCTTATTCAAAATACATCAAAGGATATAACAGAAGGCTAGCACATGCATCACATATGCATGTCTTATTAAATACTTCTGCTTTGTTTTGAATTTTGTTATTATAGTGTGTGGAGTCTGCAACAAGCTCTTATTGCTCCACATTTGTGAGTCATACGGGTATTTTGTTTCCAGCTGATATCTAAGAGTTAGCACTTGGCCTTTCACTAAGAGAAGGAAATGTGCCGTTGTCTTCGCATTCTTGATCACTGTATTATCACTGCAGACTTGTGCATTTCTGTCTTTCCTCAGTGGTCTGCCATTATCACTCTGAACTGCGCTGGCTTGCACATCCACACACGCAGTACGGCCTCTGCATGGTGGGTCCTGTGTCCTTGGCCCCTGGATGATCTGGAGCATTTGCTTTTTCAAAAAGCAGAATTCTCCATTGCCTGATTACTTGGACAGTTTTTTGGTCTTTTGTTGATATTTTCTATTCCCTTTTGTGTCTTCAAAAATAGCAATTATAATTTCACGATCTGAAGCTTTTGTGGTCTGATATCTGTTGTTTATATTAACATTTGGCTCATTGTATTTTTTTCTCATGGGTCTATAATTTAAGAAAAAGTTTACTCTGAGTTCATATTCTTTTATCTGTAGGATTTCCTTGAGATCTAAGTTAAAGATAATTTCTCTAGCGAGATCATCTGTTTGGTTTTTTTTTCCTAGATTCCGGGGAATACTAATAATTCATAAGCACTAGACAGCAAACTCTTCTAGAAGCTTTTTATTTTGGTGATATTGAGCCTATGAATTTAAGCTAAAGGCCTTTATTAAAAGACTAGAAAATTCTCAAGAGCTATTTCTCCCTGCATTTATAGCCAGTTAAATGTCCTGGCTCCCTGCTTTTCCCAGCTCTTGCCATGAAGCTGTGGTCTTCAAGTGCTGAGTCAGAGATGATCATAGAATGCTGTAGGAAAAACCTGCTTTATGAGAACTACGACCAAAAGCTAAGAGGTGCGGTGAGACTGAAGAAAGGTGATACATCCAAGGCTACATAAACATTCCTTTTACTTAGAGAATGTATGTACAGGAGTGTGTTCACAGGCGGCTCTGAGACCTATGCATTCTTCTCTTCACTACTTTTGTTTATGTTAATACAGTCAAAGGTGGTCCATGGCTAACCTAAATACAAAGACCTGGACTTTCTCAAGAAATGGTAACATTTCAGGCCACAGGAAAGGGATATTTCAGGGTTCCGTGCGTGCTTCTTCCACAAACTTTGCAATCACTCTCAGCTTTACCTGGGGAGCAAGATGAGTGTAACATTCGCACCAGCTCAGACATTAATGTAAAATATTTTATATTTTCCTAGAATTACTAGCTTTTCCAGATATATAGTCCAATAAGAGAACTCTTCATGTTCTTTGTCCCTATACTTTAGGTGTTTAAATTGTTGACTTTTTTTTTTAACAAATTAATGAGGTGCTTGTAAACATCTGGAAGTGATGTTCACTTACTTTATAGTGTAAAAATAAGATTGAGTAAAAATTCCTCTAATTGCTCTCGTAGTAAAGATTGGGCTAAGACATCTATTCCCATGACGTACACCCCAACCCCTGAGGATAACATTTACCTGATACGTTATACTGAACCAGTAGATGTTATAGGTGGGAATGGAATAGGGCATTCTGCATTAAAAAACAAAAATGCCAATAACCACCAAAATAATCATGTAAAAACTGTCTCCTCTGATTGAAGACATCTACTTTAAGTACCTCAACAGACAGAAACAAAAACAGAAATTGCCCAAGGTTTTCCTTTTTACCTGTGGCTTGAGCTGAGCTTAGTACGGTCTCTCTGTATGCCACCTGGAGTGGCCCCAGGTAGGTCTCCAGTCCATACTCCCTCTTGATTCTGTCATGAATAACCTCAATGTGTAACTCCCCCATTCCACACAGGACAGTCTGGTTAAAAGAAAATAAAACCAAGATTAAAGAAAAAACTTACATTTGCCACAAAATACTATATAAAAGTACAGTGTTGTTATGTGGGTTTTTTTTTTTAATAATTATTAATTACCATTGAGTTTCTTTTTAAGTTTTTTTTTTTTTTACCTTTTTTTTTTAAACTTTTCTGACTGGAAAAGTGAATCAATTATTAGACAATTACTTGACTATTTTCTCTTTCTATGACAGTTCAAAATTATTAGCTGAATGAGCAGCATGCAGCTAAGACCACATTTCTGGCCAACACAACAGGAACGTGATGTTAACAACTTCCGGGTTGTACCTAACAGAATGGTGAAGTTCTTAAGAAGATGCTAAGGGTGACACCTCGTGAACAGGAGAGCAACAAACATTTTCCAACTATCCTGGCACTTGCAGCTTTACATCTTCAGAGTAACCTGTCTCTTCATGGCAGGCAAATACTTGACACTGACTGTCTTTGAGACTGTCTTTGGATCCTTAAAAGAACCACATTTTCACCAAAGAAAACCAAAGAAATATCGATTTCTTTTTAGCATCAATGCTTATGCCTAAACAAGATCTTTGTGTATGAGAAAGAGCATGGGGTAATGTGGACATATTGGCTCTATTTTGTTCATATGTCTTCTGCTTAGTGAAAAATTAACTTAAGCCAAAGAAAATACACACACACATGTACACATACACACACTTCCTGTACAGGAAAGAAATGTGTGAAAAAGAAAAAGTATGAAAGGTTTTTTACCAAGTTTTAATAGAAACCTTGTAGAATGGGATGGAGGGGGGACCCGGCGCCGTGGCCTAGTGGCTAAAAGTCCTCGCCCTGAATGCGCCAGAATCCCATATGGGCACGGGTTCTAATCCCAGCAGCTCCACTTCCCAACTAGCTCCCTGCTTGTGGCCTGGGAAGGCAGTCAAGGACAGCCCAGAGCTTTGGGACCCTGTACCGGCGTGGGAGACCTGAAAGAGGTTTCTAGCTCCTGGCTTTGGATCGGCGCAGCACCAGCCATTGCGGTCACTGTGGGAGTAAATCATCAGACAGAAGATCTTCCTCTCTGTCTCTCCTGCTCTCTGTATATCTGACTTTGTTATAAAAAATAAATAACTCTTAAAAAAAAAAAAAAAGAATGGGATGGAGGGAAACAAGAACCTTAATACCTCTATTATTTTTCACACAAAAACTTTTGATTTACTCTCCTAAAAAGAGAAGTGGAACACAAACTAATGAATTTTTATTCCTAAAGCTTTATTTATCTAAAATATAGAGTGACAGAGATCTTCCATTTACTGGTTTTAGCCAGATTAAAACCAGAAGCCAGGAACTCCACCCTAGTCTCTCACATGGACAGCCAGAGGCACGTGCACTTGAACCATCTTCCACTACCTTCCCAGGTGTATCAGCAGAGAGGAGGCTAAGAAGCGGAGTAGCCACGACCTGAACTGGCATAACAACAAGGAATGCTAGAGTTAACAGAACTCACTAATCTGCTATACCACAGTGCCAGCTAATTTAATCTTTTCTTGAGGCATCAAGAATGTCTGCTCTTCTGTGCTGCATACTGTCATGCCTGTGTTAGAACTCTTTATTTCCTCTCACATTACTAGACCACAATCCACCTGTTGCCTTTTTAGATATGTTACTGACATCAGAAGCATCCTCCAATCCTCCCGTTTCTTCAAAAAGCCTTAGTGTAAGAGCTTTGTCGTAGGGTTAAACCTTATCCCAGTACTCTAGCTTATAAAATTTTTCAAATTTTATTTATTTGAAAGGCAGAGTTAGAGAGACAAGAGAAAGACAGATAGACATCTTTCATCCACTCATTCACTCCTTCAATGGCTGCAATGGCTACAGTTGGGCCAGTCTGAAGCCAGAGCCAGGAGCTCCATCTAGGTCTCCCACGGGAGCACAGGGGCCCAACACTGCCCCATCCTCTGTTGCTTTCCCAGGTGCATTTAGGAGGGAGCTGGATCAGAAGTGCAGTATCTGCAGCTCAAATCGGTGCCTGGTACTGCAAGCAGTGGCTTCCCTTCTCTGTCATGGCCCTGACCTCCTCAGGACTCCAAAAAGCTCCAATGAAGGTTGAAAATGTTGGGGAGTAGTTTATGTCTGTCATGCGCATTACATTAGGGAATTAACAGAAATTCATGTATGTACATTGGGAGTCAACATAAATAATCACAAATTTATATTATGAGAAATCAAAAAATGTGCTTTTGTTCAGAGGAACAGATCAATCATAGATCAGTCACACATAATTACGCAGCATGCACACATCTGGACACACACACTGATACACACATGAAATTAGGGTTATGGTGATATACCTACTTGTCCAGAGTCAGGATCCAGCCTTACTTTCAAACTGGGATCTTCACGTTGCAGGCATTTCAGTGCATGATCCAAATCTACGAGATAAACAACACTGCTATCTTTAACTTCATTTTTCAGATTAATTAGTGTTAAGTCCTCATGGGGAAGACAGTCTAACAAGCAAATTTTGAAAAAAAAAAAATTTGAATAGCTATAAATACCTTGTAGAGAAGAAAACAAAGTGATACACACGTGATGGGGGCTATCTGAGAATGAGTGTTACACGAAGGCTTCTCCAACAAATTCACATAAAAATTAACATAATGACTTCAAAAATTTTCAGGATATAATTATTTCACATATATTACCAAAGCACTCATTAGTTGACACACCAAGACTATTGTACCTGGCTGCTTGGCCATTGATGGGGGCTCTATGGTACAGAAGAAAACAGGTTCAGGAACTTCCACGCCAGCCAATAAAAGAGTCTCTCCTTCCGTATTTTTTCTGTCCGTTTCCCCCTTCCTCTTGGCCTGCCGAGCCGCTGCCTGTGCACTAGACTTTGAGGAGACGATGGTGTCCCCAGTGACGGTCTGCAAGCAAACATAAGGTATATAAGGTAACTTCTATCAAGGCAGGTTCTTTTTTTTTTTTTTTAAAGATTTATTTTTATTATTTTTTTTTATTGGAAAGGCGGATATACAGAGAGGAGAGACAGAGAGGAAGATCTTCCGTCCGATGATTCACTCCCCAAGTGAGCACAACGGGCCGATACTATGCCGATCCGAAGCCAGGAGCCTCTTCTGGGTCTCCCACGCGGGTGCAGGTTCCCAAAGCTTTGGGCTGTCCTCGACTGCTTTCCCAGGCCACAGGCAGGGAGCTGGAAGGGAAGCGGGGCTGCCGGGATTAGAACCGGCGCCCATATGGGATCCCGGGCGTGCAAGGCGAGGACCTTTAACCACTTGCGCCACCGCGCCGGGCCCCAAGGCAGGTTCTTAAAGGGCACTCATCTATCACGAACCGAGACATGAAAAAAATTTCAATGTACTGTGTTATCATCAGAACTTTAATGAGAAATAAATTCATTAGGCTCTTCACAATACTAAATAAGCAAAGCTTATTTAATTTCTATATGAACTGTACGCAAAATATTGTAATAAATTCTACCACACACATACACACAATATACACCCAAAATTTACTTAGTAAAATAGATATACCTTCCTAAGTTCTCGATCATGATAAACCAGGTTAGGTAGAAACCCATTATAATGTGTTACCAGCCAGCATAAGTTTATTAGTATGTTATGGAAAATTCCCTTTTAATGAAAATACACAATATCCAGAATATTCTTGAGTGTGCAAAAATTTACAGTTTCTGTATATTAAAAACAAAAACTTCTTGTTAAGACTAAAATTATACTTATATACTTTACAACAAGAAATTCTGTCCATTTTCCTTCTCTGAAAAGCTAGCCCTACTGAAGTAATGATCGAAATGAATTTGTAGACTTCCTCAAACATTTCAAGAAGCTCCTGCTTTTGGGCAGACATGGGGGATGCTTCAAAACCAAAAGTCTACGAACATCCACGCTCTGAGAATTTCCTTCAGAAAGAGTTTGAAACTTGCAATTAACTACAAGTTGACCAAAAACTTTAAAAGTAGCCATTTTTATCCTAAATGTCAAATGCACCAACATTTAAAGAGAAAATTATATATCACTTAATTCATACAAACAAAATATGCTCACATTCAGCCAGACAAAAACAGACACAGCATCAAGTACTTTCGCCCATTCATCCTACAAATGTCTACATAGCACATGCAAGCACAGATGCACTGGGGACACAGTAGTGAGACAAAAGGCTTTCTGCTCATCAACCTTTCACTGGGAAAATATCTGTAATTTTTAATAAATTACAAGAGTATAGTGTTTGCAATGATCAAAACAGGAAAAGGAACCTAATGGGAATAAAACAATATTATAAACATAAAATATATAAGATGTATCCATAAAAACCACATTTTACTTGGACTTGAACTTTATATATTTTTTGTGGTTGTCTATAATTCATTTCTCTTTTCTGTTAAATATATGAAATTATTCATTTGTGCTGATGAATACACAACAAAATATTGTCTATTCCACCACTCACTGACATCCAGATTGTTTATGGGTTTCTGTTTTTACACACCTTACTTGCAATTGAACATTTAAACTACTATTTCCCAAAGAAATCATTTGGCTCCTTACGTGTTTGAGTCCAACTGTCAAAGCAATGTTACCAGCGGTCAGTGAAGGGATTTCTATATGTTGGTCAGCAAAGGGTAAGAGCAGGCGACTTATTCTCTCCCTGTAAAATGATAATTCATATAAGTAAAGGTATTATTTTTTTTACAGAAATGAGTATAATTGTAGACTAAGCTTCCACTTACGTGCAGTTTTCATTAATATTATAAACAGCCAATTGGGGTTTTATTGTGCCTGAGTAAATGCGCATAAAAACCAGTGGCCCTCGCTGCTTGTCATGGAGGACTTTAAAGGCCAGCGCGCATAAGCCATCCTTATACCACTGCCTGGAAAACAAAGCAGATATTCCAGAAAGGCCTACATACTAATATACTTTCCATTTAACTACAGATTGATCAGAAACACCGCAGGGACTTAACCATAACACCCTCCAAAGCTCTCTCACACCTTCTAGTAACTCTCCCCAAGCCCACTACACAGCATCGTAAGTACCCCTTTTCTTTCACTGAATAAACTGTTTAATTCAATCTTGCTGTTAATTTTCAAAACTAAAAGCAAGAAATTATCTTCCAAACGTTACCTCAATTTATAAGTAATTTCACTGCAAAAAGCTCTCTCCTCAAGAGAGAACCACTAAGGTTCTACATTTTGTCACTTATAATGATATTCTTCACTTTTATTATTAAAAAAAATGATGAGCTCATTACTTCTTATGCAACATGGGCTACGTATTTTCCTGAAGACTATCAGTTGTTGTTTTCTATGAGACAGAAAGACCGAGGTAGACAGACACACGAACTTATATCCACTCCTTCACTCTCCAGATGCCTGTAACAGCTTGGGCTGAGACTCCAAAGTTGGGAATGAGGAATTCCATCCAGTTCCCTCACAGAAGTGACAGGAATCCAATTAGCTGAGCTGGCACCACTGCCTCCCAGGGCCTGCAGCAGCGGAAGCTACAGCCAGCTGTCAAATTCATGAAATGAGATGCAGCTATCAGGACTGCTGGGCCAAGCACCTGCCCCTACTGCAGGATTTGTAGTCCGGGAGGTTGCATACTTACAGAAATTCATAGTTGCGCTCTTCAGGTGAAGGCAGGTACAAGGTGACAGCATCTAACAAGGGCTGCACACCCTTGTTCTTCAGAGCACTTCCACAAAGCACAGGCACTGCTGCCTGAGCCAGCGTGACTCTGTGGATGGCAGACTGCAGCTACAAGCAGACAGAAATGAGCCATTACCTTGTAGACATTACACTGGTCTCTGCCACAACATCTAAGAATTGGAAGCCTCCCCTAAGTGCCCATTTATAACATCACTCTTAATGGTTTTATCTTCCTTTACACCATTAATCACTGCCTGGCATGCTATATACTTATTCATTAGTTTACTGTCTACTGGATGTAAAATACACGTGAGCATTACCTTGAAGATGCTAAATTCTCCCAAAACTAGAAAAGTTAGACAAACTTCAAGAGTCAATAAAAAGTGTGTGTGTGTGTGTGTGTGTGTGTGTGTGTGAAGCTGTAAGAAAGAATATTGTTGGGGCAACTCCACTTTTTGATGGTGAATACCTTAAAAGCATTAATCATGTTGTGTAACAATATCACGCACTGAACATCAGATTTAAAAATGACAGAATTTCATTCAAAATGAAAACGTAATTACTTTTTTCTATCTTTGAGGTACCATGGCTTGAAAAATTGCTTCAGTTCTTTTAATAGGTAAGAGAATGTGCTGGACTTATTTTCAATCCTATTTCAGAGTGACTGCTTGGAAACATTTTACTTTGTAGCTTTTAACATTTCATGTTGGAAAGGTAAACAATAAATTTGCCTAACTGGTGGGGGAGGGTCCCTGGCAGATTCAAATCCATAAAAATAAAATTACTATAAGAATTCTACTTGCCTTCCCTCTGGCTTACTAAATGTCAAAAGAAAAAAAAAAAGACATAACACTTACAATCATCCACTGGAAATCATACTTGGAAAAAAAAAACTCTTAGAAAAAATGATTCTGCTAGGTTGGAAAACAACTAAGTTATAAAAACAAACTTTTCCCTGTGATTTACCTCAAAAATCCTTAATGATATAACCAGAGAAGGCTGCAGATGATGGGCGATTAACTAAAGATCAGTCACTGCGTGTCAGCAGAAACGGACATTATTTTTAGTTTGTGTAGTACACCTGAATGCAGTAAATGACTACAGCTGCTGCAGTACCTGTGCAAGTAGTGATTTTAGCTCACTGTTCAAATTCATAAGTCAGCATCTCCTAATACCATCTAGTTTCTTTATTTAAAAAAAAAATACAAATTACATCCAATGAATAAAATGTTGTCTATTTTGATTTACCTTTTCAGCTGGAATCAAATCAAAATTTTCACTAAATTCTTCTAAAATCAAGTCAGCAAATTCATCATCCAAATCTGCAATCTGTCCAGAAAGACGCCTAGTTACTCCCAGAGCTAAGACTCGACCTAACTCATCAGTCTGTTTGGAGGACTATGTAGCAATCAAATTACGCTTTCAGAGAATATAAGTGTGCAATAGTAGCAGCTATTGTCATTTGCCTTTAGAAAACAGGAAGTTGATTATAGCTTATACCAATCATCTTCTCTAATTGAAAATAAATTGTGGCAAAACAGGCAAAGCATAAAATTTGCAAGTAGTGCTGAATATTATACAATCTCCAGAACTCCACTGTATTCACATCTGTGAAATTCTACATGCATAGCACAACTTCTCACTCTTTTCTTCCTCAGCCTCCAGGATTCTGCGTTGTTGCTGAAATTAACTGCCATAGCCATTTCAGTTAAATTGAACGAAGGAAAATCTGACTTTGTGATTAACTTATTTCATTGAATATAATAAGATCTACCTATGGAGTAGCCTATGTCTGAATGTCTTTCCTTCTAAAGACATATGTATATCATATGTGCACACACTTCATTGAAGATCTGTATGCCATATGTATACAGTACAGCTTATTTACTCTTCTAGTGAGCTCCTGGTTGCTTCTACCTTCTGACTACTAGGAACGATGCGGTTAGGAACATGGATGTGCAAAGCACTTCAGATTCTGTTGTCAATCCCTCTGGGTATAAAAACCCAAATGCAGAACTGCTGGGTCACACGATGAGTCTGCATCTTCAATTCTCCGGCACCAATTACACTCAACAGCACACAGGGTCACAGTTTCTCCACATCCTTGCTAGAATTTATTTTCTAGGTTTCTGATGGTAGACATCTTAATGGGCATGATGTAGTGTTACTCTCTAATTCTTACCTTTTCTAATCCTTACAATTAACATCTTATTATTACTAAGAGCCTCAAGTTTTAATTTCCATCACAACATCATTTCCTGAAAGGATATAAAATAAAGCATGTCATTGCAAAAATGGAGAGAGAAAGAATGAAGGTAGCACTGGTGGGAGAGTGAGTGGGGGGGGTGTATTAGGCTCTGAAATCTGAAATACATGAACTTTATTCAACTTTCATAAATTCAAATTTTTTTCAGAAAAATAGAGTAGTTGGGAAATATTCAGAATGACATGCCAGGTTTGGAGACTTAATTCACTATACAACATAGCCCCATAGACTGATTCAGTTCAGGAGTGAAAAATCAGGGCTGACACTGTCACACAGCATATAGGCTGACTTACTGCCTGCAGTGCTGCCATCTCATATGGGTTCAAATAGATAAAACAAAGCCTTGTTTTTTTCTTTTTGAAGAAGTGAAAGAAATCAAAGGGCTCACATTCAAAACATTCTTCTCTACCATGAGGTTCGTGGAGTTTGGTCATATATGTTTTATCTATCATCCTATAGATATTACATATATGCAATAACACAAATGTAAGTCAAGACATGTTGACATTTTCCATTAAAATTCTAAGGGCGGACGAGGTACAGTGACTATAACACACTAAGTAATTTAAAAATACACTAAGTAATTTGGCATCTGGTAAAGCACACTATATCATCCAGTTTAGCCACTCTACTAAATTTACAGAAACTCTTGCACATGTTCAAGAGGACATAAATATGTTCATAGCAACACTGCTTCTAAACATCCCAAAACAGAGGTACTCTCAAGGTTTAATCATAGGAGAATAGACAAGACACTGTGGTACAGTAATATCAGTGAAGAAAACACAAGACTGAAAATGAATAAACTATAACTGCATTAGTAACATGGTGAAATCTTCAATATAATGTTGAACAATATAAACAGTGGCATTCCATTTACGTGAAGCTGAAAACATATAACACTAATTTTTTTGGCTATATACATCTGTAGCAAACTATAAAGAAAAGGAAATGAATGATAAATACGAGAACTAACACTGGTTTTAAGGGCAGGTAATGAGTAATGGAAGGGAGAGGCACAGACAGGAAGTAGCCCACACAGATTCAAAGGTATTGCTAACACTCGACTTGTTAAGCTGAACAGTGCACACACTGGCACTCAATTCATTACTGATTATATTGCATATGCACTTTTAAATAAAGCTTTATAATTAACAAAACTTTTTAAAAAGTTTCTGAGCACCCATGACATTTTACACTCAAAGTGTTTATTTTACCTGTTCAACCAAGGCATTCCTTGCTTCAGTTGTCTCCTTCAGCAACTCAGGATCACTCACTTCCAAGAGGGGTTTTCTCTCAAAGTCTTTTCCATCATCTGAATCGGGATTCCAAATTAGCTTTTCTTTACTTACTACATCCACTACGCCTTTGAACGTTTTGCCTTCACCGATTGGTAACTGTAACACAGAGTGAGAATAACATTATCAAGTGGTAAGGCACTCAGAATTCAACTGGTGGATAAACTTTTGTAATTTTACTTTACCACTCTCTCCAAAATGTCTATTATCATAACCATCACTTTATTTTTATTTATAGCACAAAAAGACTTGAGAGAACATCGGAAGTTTGTATGTCACAAGAACATAAATTAACAAGGAGCTGAGACTATTCAACCAATTTACCTGTAGAAGCAATGGCCTTGCCTTCAGCTTCTCTCTGATGCTTTCAACTGCAAAGTTAAAACTGTAGAAAGCAAAATAATAGAGTTAAAACTCTTATGTCAGGTTTCAGAATGTTTTCTGCAATAATCTTTTCATTTTTTAAATGTTCATCTCTTAACGGTTTTATACAGGACTATTTTAATCAAATTTAACATCAATTTCAGATACCTATAACCGATAATGCACTATAATCTTGTCACAAAGGAGTTCAGAATATTGGTATTTTAAGCTTCAGATAACCAAACTCTGAACTTCAGATTAAACAAATTCACCAAGATCACACAAGTTATAAAAATAGGATTCACACTGCAGGATTTATAATTACAAGTTGCTGATTCTTTTCCTCCATAACTAGGTATGCTAACATATCAAACTACTAGGTTTCTTCCAAGAACCAGTCCAACAAATTTTCTATAGTATTTTTTTTAAGATTTTAATTTTTATTGGAAAGTCAGATATGCAGAAAGGAGGAAAGGCAGAGAGGAAAATCTTCTCTCTGGTGATTTCTTTCCCAAGTGGCCTCAAGAAGTGCGCTGATCCAAAGCCAGGAGCCAGGAGCCTCCTTCAGGCCTCCCCTATGGGTGCCTGGTGCCAAGGCTTTGGGCCCTCAACAACTGCTTTCCCAGGCCACAGGCAGGGAACTAGATGGGAAGCAGGGCCGCCAGGATCAGAACTTGTGCCCATATGGGATCCTGGCAAGTGCAAGATGAGGACTTTAGCTGCTAGGCCACCAGACCAGACCTGATTTTCTATACTTTTTAGACATTTTAATGTCATGTGGTATGCCAACAGAGGCTGACTATCCATATGGCACACATTTTTCAGATGGTCTGGTTCACACTCACATGCAAATCATTTTTGTCCCAGCATCTCTGAGAATCAGCCTAGCATCCAGTCATCTTTCCATGCACTGTCCTTTCCCAATCCTACCTCCCCCATTCCCTTAAGCATGGACTGACAGCAAATGAAGACTTCCATCTGGCAGTAGGAACTCCAAAGAGAAAAGGGTCGGGCTGTGCTCATATTAATCAAGATAAGAGTCTTTTAAAAGCAATTCTGGAATTATTATACACTTACATGAACACTATACTACTGTGTAGTTTTAGGAGAGGGCTAGTTTGTTCTGTTTTTCCTGCTTAACCACTACAAAACAGATCTCTCCCTAGCACAGTTTCCTCAGAATCCTTTATAGCCACATTTTCATATGTTCTTATTTTTTCCAAATCCTTCATCCATTCTGGATTCTTAAAATTATATTCTTAGAATAAGGAATTCATTGTAAATCTCTAAGCATGACTATAGTACTTCAACATTAACTTTTTTCTGACCTCTATATTCTCCCTTCCCAATTCCCGTTTATTGAGAGCCTATTACCTAGTAAAGAAAATCAAGGAACAAGAATACCTTTCCCTAAGTCAACTACAAGATACAACATTCTATTTTCAGGAATGTGGAGTAATTTTCATGGGGACAATGCAAAACATAGTTCTAAAGAAGACAAACCGAATCAAAAGATACCATTTTGTTAAGATCCTAGAAAAGATACTGGGCATGATTTGCTTTCAATCAGCTCTCTTAATTCTCAAATTGTTACTTAAAAATTATTTGAAAGAGAAAGTGTAAGAGACAGAGAGAGGCAGAGAGCAATCTTTGATCCCTGGTTCATTCCCCAAATGGCTACAATGCTGAGCCAGGCACTCAGAATTTTCTTTGCGTCCCCCATTTGGCTGGTAAGAGCCCATGTCGTAGGCCATGTCGAAGGTCAGCGCTTCCTGAGGCTCCTAAGCAGGCAGCTGGACTGAAAGCAGAGCCGCTGGGGATGCCCTGATTTCTAGAGGCGGCTTACTTAATCCACTGTGCCATAATGCCAGTGTCCCAAATAGCTGTTTAACCTATGAATCAGTGGCTTGGAATTTATCTTCTGACATGGAAATGAACTAGGATTCCACAACAGAACAGAGTAGAACCCTTATACCCAACACAGAGGAATAGGTATTTCTAAATTTATGTATAGCTCACTAACTGCTCAAACTATATTCTGATTTTGAAAAGCAAACACATACATTTTAATTACCTTGCTCCAGTTTTGTCCATCTTGTTTAAAAAGCAGATTCGAGGTATCTTGTGTTTGTCAGCTTGCCTCCATACTGTTAGAGTTTGGGCCTAAAGCAAAGATAAATAAAAATCTATTCATTGGGCAAAATTACTGTTACCAGACAAAGAATGTATGATAACATCATGAGCCTTCTCCTGGCAAGAAATGAAATCCTGTCCTGTCTCATCTAACTCTTTTGCCATCAGGAAAACACCACTAGTGAGGTGATGACTGTGATGGAAAATTCACCTTGAAAGTTCTAGAAAGGGCTGAGTCACTACCCAGGATGTAGCTGAGAGTTAATCAGAAGAACGATGTTTTGTTTGGCTTTTCCTCTAACAGTACATGTCACATAAATCAGTTTATATCAATTTTCTGACATATGACAGGAATTTTTATCTTTTGTAGAACAAAAGTCCAACTTATCTACAATCTGGGAAGAGGATGTTGTCTCCCAGAACAAAGGGCAGGTGTGTTTTCTGTAAGTACAAAATATCTCATTCTTTAAACACAGGATTCTTCTCAATCCAACAGACGTGCAGCTGTCATCTGAATCCCTTCCTATCAGCCTATCAATATTGGGATTTGGGTAACAGTACAATAAAATGATGGTATGCGAGCTCTCACTGTTTCATCAAGTGCCTCATCTTTGACCCACAAGTCCTGAGTTTTCTGCCAGAAACTCCAACTACACAAGGTCAACTTGTTAGCTTAAAGGTAAAGTAGCTCTGGAAACTACTGCATCTGCTAAATAAAAGCAAATTCTAGTTTCTTATTACTATGAAGCATCTAAGATCACAGGTTATTATTTGTCAATATTAAATTCTAATCTTATTTAATCATAAGTTGTTTAAACTTACACAATAAAGGGTTACAACTAACCAAATGTGATACATTATAGCTTCTAGAGTTCTTATTTTCCCTTTACGTCGGCAGTATTTTTTACCTCTACACCAGCAGAGGCATCAAATACAGCCACTGCACCATCCAAAACTCTGAGGCAGCGCTCAACCTCCAGAGTGAAGTCAACATGACCTAAGAAAAAGATGAGAAATAGGCTCATAAATAAAAGTCATATGGTTGGACAATCCCACTTTTTACTCTAAATCTTAAAATAATGAAGAGATATTGTGCACACACATTTATATCAGCACTATCACATATGCGTGCATCCATGCAAGAATGGATAAACAGAAGGCTCTGCAGCCTTGAGGAAGCACACCCTGTCACGTGACAACAGCATGGGCAAACATGAAAACTTCACACTAAGTGAAATAAACCAAGTACAGTCCACTTACATAAATTTCATAAGGTAATCAATTTCTTAGCTACCGAAAGCAAAAACCCTGGTTACCATGGGTGCAGAGAGAGGATGGGGGGTGGTTACCACTTCATGGGTACACAGTCTCTTTTCTGAGAGAAGAAAAAGTTCTGGAATCTTATTTCATATAAATGTGAATACACCCAGCCCTACTGAAGTGTACTGAACTGTATAAGAGGTGCTTTTCCCTATACAAACAAGTAATAATAAAAAAGAACCATGCAGAATGTTCATAATGTTAGAACTGTGCCATACCTGGTGTGTCAATTAGATTGACTCTGTACCCCTTCCAGTCTAAGGTAACAGCAGCTGACTGGATGGTAATGCCTCTTTCTCGCTCCTGAGCCATGAAATCTGTCACTGTATCTCCATCATCCACATCTAATCGGGAAAAAGATGTCACAGTCGTTTTATTTTCTATTTGGTTTGACATCTTGGAATTAACAGCATAAATATTCTATAAGTACAGCGATGTCTACCTGATGTTGTTTCCTTTATGCAACATCTTGTGTAACAATGAATGGTTGTAATCTTTACGTAAATTTTTATTCTACAAAAGCTTGTTTAATGACTATTAATTTTGCCATAAAACTAATTTTTCTTTATCAATCAATGTAAGATTTATATAACTTAACTCAGCTATATAGATCTTCCATTCTTTTCCTAGCTATAATTCAGTTATTTCTTCTTTATCCTATGCTTCTCTCTATAGATTCCTTGGTAGGAGGCAGAGCAGTGGAACTCAAAAGCCAAAACCTGCTTTAAATTAAAACTTTACCATTTATTCTCAATGATCTTGAATCAGTTACTTAACCAAATTTGTATTCAGGAGTTGTTATAAAGGTAAGATTAGGCTATGAACAAAGTAAGCGGTTTAGTTAGATAACTGCTAGTTGTCTGGAAAACATTAGGGAAAAATTTCTTTCAGAATTAGATTATTCTTTACAAATCCTTTTCACTATTAAATTTTCCAAAGAAAAATGCAAATAATGTCTTGGTACAATTTCTATAGCCTAAAGTCATACATAAACATCACCCTACCAAAACTGTGCTCAAATTATTCTACAGTTAAATCCTATGAGTCGGCATTCTATTCATTCAATCTATAAACAGTACAAAATGAGATTAAGAAATGAAAGACAGTTGATATTTACCATTTAAGACTCAAGAATATATAATGGTTTTCTCAAGTCACATATGTTGGGATTAAGCTTTGAGAAGTGTGAAGTTGTCTGGGCTGCCTCATTTGGACCCCTCACTTCAGGTACCCAAACTGGGGCTTTAAGGGGAAAGATTATTACCACACTCTGACAGAACAGGGGAAGAAGGAAGGCTAAATTTGCTCCTTATCTTGTTGTCTGTCATAGCCCTATTTACACACAGTAACTCTACGTGAAACATAAGTGTGCAAATCCGGGAGCTGCAAAAAGGTCAGGGGAAAGTGGAATCAAGAGATAATCTTAACATAAAAAAATCTTGAAATCGGGCCCGGCGCGGTGGTGCAAGTGGTTAACATCCTCGCCTTGCATGCCCGGGATCCCACATGGCTGCCGGTTCTAATCCCGGCAGCCCCACTTCCCATCCAGCTCCCTGCCTGTGGCCCGGGAAAGCAGTCAAGGATAGCCTAAAGCTTTGGGACCCTGCACCTGCGTGGGAGACCCAGAAGAGGCTCCTGGCTTCGGATCGGCATAGCATCAGCCATTGTGCTCACTTGGGGAGTGAAACATCGGATGGAAGATCTTCCTCTCTATCTCTCTGTATATCCGCCTTTCCAATAAAAACAAAATAAATCTTTAAAAGAAAAAAATCTTGAAATCTATGCAGTTTTTCTGAAAATATGTACTTACCATGAATTTTCTGAAAACCCCTTTTAAGTTGCTAGGCAACATATTAGAGAAAGCTAACTCATGACTGGATACAGTAAAAAAAAAACAAAAAAAAAACAGGAAAGATGAGTAGGATATGCAAAGTCCCAATCCTGGAATCTGAAAGCTATTCCTATGGATTTTGTTTTTTTTTTTTTTTTAAGATAATCCTTCCTTTAGGGCATGAGTCTTTGAAGCTAGGGTGGTAAACAAGTGTCAAATGGGCCAATGATAATTTTTGAGTCTAAATATTTAGCTGACCCTAAGAAGACTCTGGCAGAAATTCCAACTACCTTATCTGCATGTTGTGGTTAGACATCAGGGCCACTGCGTATTCATGACCTTTTCAAGTGACGCTTTTGCTATTGGGGGTGAGTAACTAGGAATCCATCTGACCTCCCAATGATCTTGTATATCCAGAAAAGTACAATATTCTTTCAGTAGTGGTAGTTTTGCCAGCGTCAATATGAGCCATAATTCCAATATTACGGATTCTATTTAAAAGAAAAAGGCATCACAAAGTGGAGGTTACTGATATTGTAAAAAAAAAAAAAATAATAATAACAATCCTGTGTAAATTTCAAATCTGTTTAGTATTTCAGTAACTTATATAATTCAGTGAAAACCAGAAAAAAATACTTAAGGATATCCAATTATATTACTCCTACAAAACAACAAAAACATACATATCCTATTACCTTACTCTGACAAAACAGCTAATAAATGAACTAAATGCCCAAACGGGAGGGCACACAGTCACAAAACTTGTAGCACTTACAATTTATCATTTCCTCTGCCTTTCAGAGAAAACTTGTTTCTTTGAATTCTCATGGAAAAAAATGAATGATAATACTTACTTCTCTATAGGAGGATTGATGATGGAACGAAGGGATTTGACCTCATTTCCTATTAAGCCTAATAGGAGAATTAAATTGAACAGTTGAATTGATTAAATTTCCTTAGGTTGCAAGTAAAATAAGAAAATACAGTAACTCCAAACAAAATAAAACCCAAGCTAAGTAAAATTTATCTAAAATGCCTTCTTACAATGTAAACGGAAAATATTATATACAAAATAAAGTACAAACTTTCAAACCTCATGCTTAGAGAAACTATAGCTTTACCTTAATCTTTGTTACCTACGGTTCCCATTATTTGTCAAACTCTAAAAGCTAGATTAATGTTCACAACGGCTATTTTGAGGCAATATGGGATCCTTAACTAAAGAAAAGCTTTAAAATGCACAGTACTATAAATCTGTTCATTGAGGGCTTGAAAAGCTGAGAATATACTCCTGTGTTAGCAAACACTGAAATTTCTGTGTAACGTGGAGCCTACCTGGCCTCGGCAATGCATCAACGCTGCTAAAGAGGCTTGGAAGGTATCATTCGACAGAAGCTACACTGTTCTAATACTTCTAAAAGGCCAAATAGCCAGATTACTTAACTGTTTAAAAAAAAATCCAAAATGGCTCACATGTTTTATTAATACATAACTTTAAGGAATATAATTATAAATGTAAATTTAATCTCTACCTTACTGCTACTTAAGCTAATTCTTCCACAGTTTATACAGAGTTTTATATTAATTTAAAATCCTCATGGTGCTTTGAAGACTGAAAGATAATTTACACTGCTATACTTAAAATTCACATAAGCTATATAAAGAAACTAGATAACCCCTCCTCAATGAGGCCCTAAACTTCACGTGCGCTCGTTAAGTCAACAGCCAACTGGTGTCTGTATTCTGTTATTCTCACGTGACACATGTGATAACTGATCAGAAATGGCACTAATCTGCTTTCATCAAGTCTATCACAGACTAGCTTATTCCACTCTTCCTCCTTTTCACAGCCACATTTCTAATCCAAAACACTCCAGACAAATCTTCAAACTATTAAGAATCTTTAATCTAGTAAGCCTCTACTGGCGAGAAAACACTTCTGAGTGAAAACCATAGTGAAGTGCAACACATTTTGCCACAAGAGCACTGTAAGAGAGGACGCAGATGCTAAACTTGTAAGTCAGCTGCTAAAGCCACTAACCTTCCTTTGCTCGGTTCATCAGCGCAGCCTGCAAGCAGAAGCACAACTCTGCTGCTGTGGCTTCCTGGAAACTAACAGAGGACGCCTCAGCCCTAATCACTGGGAGGACTAGCCAAGAGGTAAAACATGACTGCAAACCCCTGAATGAGAGATCTTGCAAACCAGAGAAAGAGCAAAAAGAGAGGAAGCAAGCAGATCGACTAAAATGGGAAGATTAACGTTTGTACCTGGTAGGGAACTATAATGTCTTCCAACAGGCATCTGTGGCTTTAATTTTCTCAAACTTGCTATTAATTTATAGCAGCGCATATTCTGGGAAGGATAAAAAGGAGACAATTTTACTTTACATGAATTATAAGAGTAATTTGAACTACGGAACATGTTTTCTGAAAAGATAAACACCTCTTCTAAGTTTTCCCAAGTCATTCACCACCATTCTTTCAAAATTTCAATTTATACTACATAATAATTAAAGTAACCCTGACCTGCTACTTGCACTATGCTTAAATTATTTCTCCTAGAGTTATGGGTATCAGCATGGAGAGTGGAGTTAGAAATGCAAATTCCTTCCTGCCTTTCCAATAAAAAGGAATCTTTTTTTTTCCAAAGATTTAATTTTATTGGAAAGTCAGATATGCAAAGATACAGAGAGGAGGAGAGAGAGAGGAAGATCTTCAGTCCAATGATTCACTCCCCAAGTGAGCGCAACGGCCGGTGCTATGCCAATTGGGAGCGGGAAACCAGGAGCTCTTCCAGGTCTCCCACGCGAGTGCAGGGTCCCAAGGCTTTGGGCCGTCCTCGACTGCTTTCCCAGGCCACAAGCAGGGAGCTGGATGGGAAGTGGGGCTGCTGGGATTAGAACCGGCACCCATATGGGATCCTGGCGCGTTCAAGGCGAGGACTTTAGCCACTGGGCCACAGTGCCGGGCCCAGGAATAAATTAAAAAAAAAAAAAAAAAGAAAAATGAATTTCCCTTCTGTTGACTCATTCTCCAGATGGTCAAAGTGATGCAGGGCTGAGCCATGCCAAAGCCCAGGAGCCAGGAGCTTCTTCTGGGGGTCTCACGTGGGTGCAGACACCTAAGCTCTTGGGTCATGCACGGCTGCTTTGTCCTGGCCAGTAGCAGGGACCTGGATGGGAAGTGGTGGAAGCAAATGGGCATCCATACGGGATACTGGGGCCCCGGGCCACAGCTTTACCCTTTGTAAGTCCTTCAGGTGATTTCAGCATCTAGAGTGTGAGCACCAGAATCTAAAGATTAAAAAAAAGAGTCAGAAAGTTTATATATATACACCGGCCTAGTTGTTCCTCATATTTGGTACAAGCTTGTTATAGGCACTGGACTGCAATGAATTCATAGCAGTAGTTACACAATAGATTTTGAATGCTCTTCAAAACGTCAGGAAAAGGTCCAGCATGGTAGCCTTGTGGGTAAATCCTTGCCTTCCATGTACTAGGATCCCATAAGGGCGCCGGTTCTAATCCTGGCAGCCCCGCTTCCCTTCCAGCTCCTTGCTTATGGCTGGAAAAGCAGCTGAAGGCAGCCCAAAGCCTTGGGACCCTGCACCCACATGCCAGACCAAGAAGAAGCTCCTGGCTCCTGGCTTCAGTCCAGCTCAGTTCCAGCTGTTGAGGCCAATGGAGTAAACCAGTGGATGAAAGCTCTTTCTTTCTGTCTCTCCTCTCTGTAAAAATCTGAATTTTCAATAAAAAATGAATTAAAAAAATTTTTTTAATTCAGGATAGAGAAAACAAAACAAAGATGAGAGAAGAAGGTAGGAGCATTTAAACAGCTCCTCAGGTGTCTCTTCAGCAGCATTAGAACTGAGACTCAAGTTGAGAGCCAGTCTGTTTGAAGTTGGAATGCTTAAGGTAGAGACCGTATCTCTAGTTCAACATTTCGTTACTAATGTTCTCAGGCAGGGGTTGAACACCCTCCACCCCATTTTATCCCTACAGCACCACACTTCAATGCCTGCCACTATTTGGTACTGTTACTTAGGTAGGGAAAAATTTGGGCTTCAACAATCTCCTTTTATGATAGTACAGAATTTGTGTGTGCACATTTTTATTTTTACATTATTATTAAGTTTCTGTTATAAGTAACCTGGGTTTAGAATCGAAAGCCCGTGACATCTAACAGGCTTACTGGGAGGATAGCCACGAAGTACATTTCATTTTACAAGAAAATCTTACGCTCAGGTGCGAACTGGGCATTTTCTGATGAATCACTGTAAACATCTTAAAGTTCATCAACATCTTCATCTTCTAAATCGTTTTTCTATGAGAAAATAAAAATATAAAATTATAAAGCCAAATTTATAATACATGTTAGTAAGGCATATAATTGAGGGCAACAACACATTGACGTTAGAAAGTAAGCATAATCGTTTTTTATTTAAGATTAATTTTATTTTTATTGCAAAGCCAGATACACAGAGAGGAGCAGAGACAAAGAGGAAAATCTTCCGTCCGATAATTCACACCCAAAGTGACCGCAATGGCCAGAGCTACACCGATCCGAAGCCAGGAGCCAGGAACTTCCTCAAGGTCTCCCACGCGGGTGCAGGGTCCCAAAGCTTTGGGCTGTCCTCGACTGCTTCCCCAGGCCACAAGCAGGGAGCTGGATGGGAAGTGGAGCTGCCGGGACTAGAACTGGCGCCCATATGGGATCCTGGCACGTTCAAGGCGAGGACTTTAGCTGCTAGGCCACCACACCGGACCCTAGCATAATGGTTCTATTAAATGTCATATAGAAAATGAAAATTCTCACTAAATTTGAGAAATATGCTCTAAGCATCAAATCTGTCCCTTTTTTCAACATGGTGTAATTCACAAACATGTAAATATAGTGTAGAATTAACTTCTTTTGTGGCTGGCATTATGATGTAACAAGCTAAGCCATCCTGTTAACACCAAAATGCCATAGGGGCAAGGGCTTTCCACTTCAAATCTAGCTCTGCAAACTCAGCTGGCAGCAGCAGATGGCGCACGTCCTTAGGCCCCTCGCCCTCAGGGGAGAGCTCAATGAAGCTCCTGGCTTGAGCTCGGCCTAGCCTGGCCATTACAACCATCTGGAGAGTGAAGCAACTGACGGGGCATCTTTAAGTCTTTCTGTCCTTCCTGTCTCTCCCTCTCTTTAACTCTTCCAAACAAGTAAGTTAAAAAAAAAAAAAAAAGAAAAAAGAAAAACGCCTAGAATTATGTCTAGAAAAGGTTAGCACTTACACACTAACTTCTTACAGGCAGTAAAACATATTGCCTTGGGGCTGGCATCATGGCTCAACAGGCTAACCCTTCAACTTCAAGTGCAAATGTCCCATAGATTCGCTGATTCATCATGTTCCAGCCAAGGGCTTAGATAATCTTCTGCTGACTCCTCAAGAGCATTAGCAGCGAAATGGATTAGAAGTGGAGCAGCTGGGATAACAACCTGTGCCCATACGGACACCAGTCTTATAGGAGACCGGCTTGACCTGCCACAGCGCTGGTCCCACACCTAGCTAAAACACACCTGGGAAATGACGTTCCCAATTTGGAAGTTATCACACATATTGGACCAATCCTATGGCTTAAGTGCCTAATCTTCCCCATATGCAAGTGCCGGCATTCCTTATGGGTGCTGGCTGGTGTCCTGTCCCAGTTCCCAACCAGCTCTCTGCTTATGGCCTGGGAAAGCAATAAAGGATGGCCCACATCCTTAGGAAGCTGCACCTGTTTGGGAGTTTCAGAAGCTCCTAGATTTTGGCTTCAGATTAGCTCAGCTCCAGCCATGGCAGCCACATAGGGAGTGAACCAGCGATGGAAGATCTGTCTCCTCTCTGTATATCTGCCTTTCCAATAAAAATATATATTTTTTTCTAAAAAAAAGTTGCCACACACAGTAACAAATCCCAACCCAACACAGCCTATTTCAATTCCATGCTTTAGACTCTTCTTTCTGACATGATCTGATCCTCAACATTTTTACTTGCACATTTAAAGAATTTTGTGATTGCCACTAATCCCCATGAATCTTTCTTGTTTTATCTGACGAGGTATTCCACTAATTGTTTTGAATAGCCTATGAATTTTAACCATTCATTAGTACTGCTATTTCCTTTTTTACATTTATTAGCCAATGAATTTTATTTGTTCATTAGCATTGCTACTTGCTTTTTTAAACTTGTTTATTATTTTAACTGAACACTTCCTTTTCGTGGGATTTTTTTTTTTTTTTTTTTTTTTTGCCCTCGTTACAACGTAAGGATTCCATGCTGTGGGGGCATGAAGGCAACTTCTGATACTGCGCGGTAACACGGAATGTTGCTGATTTAATTTCTTGAAGTCAGTTACGCGTTTGACCGCACCAGAGGCCCGCTACACAACACCCAAACGAACCGGCGCCGGGTCCGCGGTACCAAAAGCCCTCAAGATTCTTCCAAGGAGTTCTGGATCCACGAAGATCCACAATGGTGTCCTCTTCTAAGTTAACCTTCACGTATGTAAAAAAAAAAAGCCAATCCAGCGCATCTCCCTCAACCGTGCACACATCACACACTGCGGTCACCCTCGCCTAAGAGACGCCCCGCACCGGGCACGAGGGCGCGGTGGTCCACGGCTGCGCCGCTGCAGAGCCTCAGACACCGGGCGGCACCGGACTCACCCGGCCTGCACGAGGAGCCGGTCGCACGGCATGCCAGACAGCAGCCAAGCACCTCCACCCGCCTCCGCAGCCACCTCAAGTCCGCCCGGGAGAACTTCCTCCAGCATCGATACCGTACGCGCCCGCCCCTTCCGGCAGCGCAACCGTGAAATGTTACCTGCCGGCAACTTCCGCCTCTTTAAGCTGAGAGGAAGAGCAGAAGCACGGAACGCTTCTGTGGTGCCTGCTCTTCCCCCGGCGCTGAGAGAAGCCGGCCGTTTCCTGTCGCGAGGTGCGTGAAGCCGTGGTGTGGGCTTCTTTCTGAGAGCAGAAGCTTTGGAAGTTCGGCGGCCGGGGTGCAGCACCCGGCGGGTCTGAGGCCGTCACCATGGTAAGGAGGCTGCCCGGGCGTCCGAGCCTGCTGGGCTCCAGGGCTTGGCGGGCGGGGAGGGAAGGACGACGGAAAGGGGTAAACTTCCTCCTGGGAGTGCTGGCTTCGTCACCTGTTGGCCATCGGTGCCCGAGCTCTGTAATAACCCTCTGATCTCGCCACTTGGTTTTACTGTAGAGGAAACTGATGACAGCCCTTGCCAGGTGGCCCGTACCTTAACTTCCAGAACCTTTGTCTTCGTAGTGCATGTCTGTTCCGCAACAGAACATTCTTCCCGC